TAATCGAGCTATGAACATTTTCGCCATCAAATGGAACAACTCATATATCGCGAAAGATAACTGCAGAACGTAAGACGGCCTACAAAAAAAAAAAAATGATGAACGCTTCATAACACATTCATCAAACATAACTCCAGGCGACCAGGGCTGAAGTTAAACAAAGTTGTGAGAGGGGCGGGGCTGCGAGCTGGATATAAATGGCCGAATTACCCCAATGTGCATGCCAAGTTCGACTTCTCAGACACTCACCCGCTCCTTTTCCGAAACTGTCGGAGGGAGGAGGGGGGGGGGGGGGGCAGACAGCATAGCTTGCCTTACGAAACTGATGCTTATAGCGCCCCGTGAGGCGCTTCGAGAACTTCAATGTGCCATCTCACGATCCTGGCGTCGCCTCTCTGGGGAGTGTGATGCTCGTTTGACGGACACCAGCTGGTCTTGAGTGCTTGACGGACACCAGCTGGTGTTGAGCGCTTGACGGACACCAGCTGGTCTTGAGCGCTTGACAGACGCCAGCTGGTCTTGAGTGCTTGACGGACACCAGCTGGTCTTGAGCGCTTGACAGACACCAGCTGGTCTTGAGTGCTTAACGGACACCAGCTAGTCTTGAGCGCTTAACGGACACCAGCTGGTCTGGTGCGCTTGACGGACACCAGTTGGTCTTGAGCGCTTGGCAGACACCAGCTGGTCTGGAGCACTTGACGGACACCAGCTGGTCTTGAGCGCTTGACAGACATCAGCTAGGTCTTGAGTGCTTGACGGAATCAGCTGGTCTTGAGCGCTTTACGGAAGGCAGCTAGTCTTGAGCGCTTGACGGACAACAGCTGGTCTTGAGCGCTTGATGAACACCAGCTGGTCTTGAGCAGGTTGACGGACACCAGCTGGTCTTGGGCGGAGTTGCAAGAGATCTTTCAAATCGAGTCCAAGCGGTGGTCTGGAGAGTCACGCAGCCTTGGCTTCGACAAAAATTAGTTGGGCAGTTCATGAACGAATGGTTTTTACTTCCGCCTCGCGAGCTCCCCTACGGCAAGTTTTCAAGCTGTGTCTTTAGTGGCTGAAGAACTCCTTCGCGATGCATCGCACGTCATATTTCATGGCACGGCAAGGAGAGAATAAATATCCTGGAC